ACTGAATAAGCAATTTTAAAAGGAATTTTGACTCATCTTAGGATACAAATGAAGCTTAAAAGAGAGTTTCAAAGTTTGTAGTTAATAAAAAAGAATATGGACTGAAGAAATACCCAGAATGAGCAAATCTCTTCTTTTTTAATCTTATTATTGTTATTAGTTTTACCCTAATTAAGTAATCATACACCATATATTCTCAGCATGTGTTGGGAATATATTCTTCCCCATTTTACAATCACAATAGTAATTTACCATAGTTGAAGAAGAAGGTTGTCTTGGAGGGGAACAGATGCAAAATGTCACATAGCAGAAGTCATAGTTGTGGATGGGTGCCATGTGCATTGATTCTCATATCAGTCATTATATTGCAGCACCATTTCACTTTTGCCAAATTTTCTGGTAAAATTCTGTGCAAGGAAAAAGTGCAATTTAATTGTATGTATATTTCTGCATATATTTGTTGGATTAGATCGTCTGAATTCCCTTGTTTGGATTCTTTTTATGTTTCTCATTATGAGATAACTTTTTGAAACTAACAAGTATTGTTCTAAAAAATTGATGTGTTAAGAAAGAAACTTGTATAGCGTAGTTGCTTGTTGGAATAATGGAGTTTCGACATATTTTTAAGTCAATAAATTTCTCAGTACACATTATACATATATGCTTCAGGGTTATCTGGTTCATTATTATAACAGGGATATTCATAGTATATATGTTCATTAAAGTCTGGTTCAATAATTTTTTTACTATTACTAAGGTTAAATAAATCTATAAATATAACAAAAACTATACGTTAATTTATGCAATACTTATATAATCAATATTCTTAATTTTATTTTCTTATTAATGTATATTGGTATCCGTTTTTGTCTTCAGAATGCTAATAATTACAAAATTTAATTATGTGAAATATACATTAAAAATATGAGTTTTATACAATATATTTTATATTCAATATTAATGCTTATTTTTTTATCATATCATATTTTCTATTTTTAATGGCATTTGAAATTCACTATTTTTTTACTCAGTGTTTAATATATTTAACATATAATATCTTCATTATTTTTACAAATTGTTTTAAATTTTGATTTGATTGGCATTAAACTTAATATCAAATTAATTAGTAAATATCAAAATTATTTTCGTTTAAAAGAATATGAATTTAAATTTAATTATTTATGTTTAGATATGTAGTTTGTTCTACAAGAAGACACAATAACTCAAACCTTTTAAGATTCATTAGAAAAATACAGCACCATGAAACATATACTCATATAAAACATTGACAGCATCTAGAGTTCAAATATGTTAAAACAATAAATTTATAAGTTTTTTTCATTATTTTTAATTCACGTGCACTTATATCATACCAAACTATTCCGATCAATTAATATGCAGAGAAGTAAACTGGCGTTGAACCAGATGGACTCAACTTACACTACAGTAATTGCTTCTTTCTGCTGTACTTTTTGGATATCGTTGTCGTTTTCTGAATGTAATTTTAACAGTCAAAGAAAACAAGCAATGTCTTCGGTTTACTTTTTAAGAAAATAATTTTAGAGTCTAACAAACAAGTAATTCTGTAACAAAAATTAAGATTGTTATCATTCATTTAAAAATAGTTACCCTACAAATTTTATACAATAATTATAAAAATAAATTATCTTATCATGTTTGTAACTATATGGTTACATAAAAAAAAAAACCCTAAATTCTAAAAGACCTTTACATCATAAAAAATTTCAATGCATGCTTCACTCATTCGTAGAACTTGACCCCTAACAAAAATAAACTCTAACACAAAATTTCATTCTTTTACAAAATATCCTAAAATTATCCTAAATTCCTTAAAATAAGTGTATTTGGAAAAATTTTAAGTCATTAGATTGGGAACAAATTTGTATAAAAGAATAAAAATATAATCCTCATACCTAAAAGATGATAAATTTATTGTTCTTTATTACTTAATTTAGGATTTCTCGTTTATAATTAAATTATTAACCAATGCTTAGAGTGCTACACTCTTAAATAAATAGTATTACGCTTTAACTAATAACTATTATTATTTACCTAGAACATATCCAACAAACTTTTCTGTATGCACTGAAAAAAATTAGTTTCTTTAAATCTGCAGAATATATAAAAAAAATGCTCTTGCTTGATACAGTTTTCTTGTTTTGGTGGCAGCTCAAAATGCAATAAAGATGAAATGAAAGACTTAAAAAAAAAGCAAAAGCAATAACCTCAGAAATAATGAAAATGAACAACTATCTGATACTGTAGAGGTTTCTGTTGAAACAGGAAAATCCCTTCATCTAGTAGAACCAACCAGTTTCAGACTGTTAAAACTAGGGAATATATATATATAGTTTCACTACATAGTACATATAACGATTGCGAATGCTAAACAAATAGTAAGCTAAAAAAAGTTACCGGTTATTAAGTTTTGTTCGACACAAAAGCCACAACACTGCATCAACCACATAATTTGCATAAACGAGATTAGTACATTGTAGTTAAATTACGTATAATACAGATGTATTATACATTATTAGCGTACCTTGAAAGCTTGAAAGTTAAACCTTATCCTTGGTTAAGAGGTTTGGTTGAAGTTGAGGGAGCAGCATATCGAGCTGAGAATCTGCGACGTGAACAATCTTCCTCATCGTCGTCCATGCAACCCTCATCGAAGTTTTGAGCGTAGCTTAAAGGGTCATACCCGAAACCACCAACGGGTTTGTAAGAACATGGTCTCTTTATTCTCCAAGGAAGCTTCAGTTTGAGACATCCCCAACACGAAAGCCAGCCTGTTCTGGGAGATGATGAACAACCTTTCTCCATGACTTTGAGAATGCTTAGTACGAAAATTCAGTATCAAAGGCTTTTACGATGCCTTTCTTGTTCACTACTTTTCTCTTGTGCTAGTGATTTTAGGTATGTGGCAGAGAATATAATAATCCACCAAAAAAGTGAACAGTAATTTTAATCTCCAAAATAATTGAAAAACAAAGTGGAAGTTAAATATTATAGAAGATGAACAGAGAACAAGTAAGAATAAAAATCTATTAATCGAGCACAAGTTAGAATTTCTTAAAAATACATTTAGTAGAAATAAATAAGTAAAATACTATATGTATAAAAATAATAGTATATAACAAAAAGACATGTAAAGATAATTATTAAAAGTTTTTACTTGAAGATAATATCATAGTCTTTTATATGTGTTTTTTTACTAATTGATAACAAATATCTTTCATATGTCCCTTCTAAATACCCAAGAATATTTGGATTTGATAAGGGAATATTTTATACACACCTAAGAAAAACTCATCCTGCGCCCCCTTTTTACATTTGGGAACGTAAAAAAGGATGCATGGTCAAATATTTTGAAATGTAAGAAGTTAAGGCCTGAAATGAAAGTGGAAGAATATAAAAGTTTGTCGTTTTGAATTGATTAGTTGTATGTAAAGAGAATCTAATGGTACAGTAAGGTTTTCATTGATGGAGTAAAACATGGTGGGGGCAGGACAGTTAGGTGATGAATCAGGAAGTGAAAAAAATAGTCGACCCGAAACAGATAATTTCCCACATTCAATCATAGGTTAATAATAGAGGACAGAGAACAGTGAATAATTTCTAAAAAGGGGATTCATGCAACTATGTTATATATTAAGTGTGATGATTATTATTATTATAGCTCCAATCCAGGGTGGGGCAAAGATCTAGAGTAGGTTTGGGGAGAGAATATTTGCAGGAGACACAAGTTGTCCCTTAATCCTAGTGGGCATACAGAATTGTGACGTTTATGAAATTATCTTGTTCATATGAATATGCATGGCTTGCATTTCCATTTTAAAGTCCTGTGGGATGGTGAACCATTCATTAGTCCCAACATTTCAATCTGTGGCCCAGATATCCTGGACGGTAAGCTCGGACTGTTTCCACTGTTCAAAGATCCAGGTCAAATACTTCAATGACAAAGAATAAAAAATAAGAGTTAATTTAGAATATGAACAGGGTAACAGGTTCATGATGTGATAATGTGTAGGTAACACCCACACTATTGGACAATAGAATAAAACTAAAATAAACTGATGCTGGTTATGTTATTTTTCTCCGCCAGTTTAAAGTGATAAAACTTTCGTGTCTTGAGAGAAAAAAAAATTCTAATGACTTGGTGTGTTTCAATCTTGACTATTCAAAAGAATTAATGGTCTCTCTCTATATAAAAGGGCATATTTATACAGACTTGTAGATTTAAGCATGATTTTTATAATGATGGGTACACATTTTCAATAATTACATTTAAAGACTATATATTGAATTGTATTCCAACACGGTATTTCATTATTACCATATGTCATACGATTCAGATCTTCTCTAATAAGTCCATGTCTGTCACAAAATCTCACACGTCAGTAATCACATAATAAGGAAGAGTTCTCACGGATAAATAGATCACTTATCACTGATGCTTCTTTTCATGGACGCGCACAATAAAAATATGGTACACAACTTAATTTATGTGAGTCTGCTTGTGACACAAATGTCTAATGGCTTCTAAACTCAAGAGATGTGTTATTCATGCAACAGCGCATACAATTTGTATACAATATGAGGCATGCTTTTAGTGCTCAGTATTCAATGTAAGTTTAATCAATCAAAGAGATCTTATCCATACAACGTTTTGTTGGAATAGTTTGCAACAGCGTTATAAAACACAGATGTCTAGTATATATAAAGCCAACTTATTTTAATCATATAAATTTTCAGCAATTATTGATAACTTGACTGGTAATTCTTGAATTTAGGTGTCAGCACATTCAGAGAAAAATAAAAGAACCGAGTCTGGCAACATGAGATGCAGAAGACAGATTTTACTGTGCTCTTAAATAGTGGGATCAGAACATCTGCATGATAATAGAAGAACACGCAAATCAATTTTCCCCTTGTGACCGACCTGTAAAACTTCTAACGTAAAAGATACACTGTCATCATTTATCAGCACTGAATTGTAATAAACATCAAATATCTAAATTGACACGATCAAATACAATTTTGCTAGCAAAGACATGCATGGAAAAATCTAACATAACCCATAGCAATCTTGAAAGCAGCAAATATTACTATGACACAATGATTTGGTTTCAACTGCAGAAATTAAAGTAGTCAGGCCATTATGTTCTAATATCTTTGATTAAGTGGCACACAACATATTGCATCGAGTGCCTCAAAACTATATCGCAACCTGCAGTCTTCACAATTTGCATGCAACTAGGTCCTTTTACTTACACAACCAAGCCCGTTTTCCACTTCAAATGAGAAGAACAATGATATCGCCAAGAGCAGTAGGTTGGGTGAATTTGTCTTAAAAAAATACTCAGTATAAAAGGATCACGTCTCATATTTGAGGTAATAAACATGCAGCAAAACAGCTAAGATACAACCGATGAAAGATGATATCAGAAGCAATGCAGCATGACAGATAACATACAAAGCATCCTACACTAGTCTGCTCCTTATTCAAGACTGCTAATCACCTGAGATCTAAGAAAGTAGGAATATGACATATTTAAATGGTGACACGAAATTTTAATCGTTCTTTTAAACTTTTACATGCCAACTTGGACATACTCGTTTGTTGCTGGAGATAAAAATAACAGAGAACAGAGGTAGCATCATCCTTAGAAGTTCCTTGGCAAACCATGAAAAAGATTGATGGAACACAAGTTATAATTAAAAAAAAATAATGGTATTAATATGTACAATATCTGAGTGCACCATATAACTTCTGACACAAATAGGTCAGAATTTTATTTCAATCAAATCATATTTGAGCTCCAAGATTTTTTATTTTTTGTATAGATCAAGGGAAAGCTTAAGTTTCGTTTTTTGGGAAGGGGGCACTCACCAAATTGACCTGGTCTTTTTCGTTTCACCAGAAGAAAAAGCTCAACAAATTCTACTTAAAATTCACTATCTGCTCTCCCTAAAACATAAAAATCTGTAATCTGGACCATGTGAGCAGAGGACACTACTAAGACAGAAGGACAACTAAATCTAAGTGCATAAATGGGAAGAACTATTTAGTGGTGCATTGTATATTACATATAGATTGCTTCGTGTGTGTTTGTGTTTTGTGTGTATATATCACAATTCGCAGTTGATTTTATTGATAGTTTGGTATTGACAGAACTCAAGAGGGATCGACCAAACCATGTAGCCAAGTAACCCAAACAACACACTTAATGGGTTGATTTTGCAGTTGTCATTGATGTTTTCTTCTGCATCTTAACTGTTTTTTTCTTTCTACCAAACTTCTCTTTACGAGTCCTTTGGAGTACAACTCATTCCACAATTTGGAAGCCTCCTCAGGAAATCCTTCACAAGTAATGCCTTTTAGAACAATTTTATAGGTAACCTCAGTAGGTTTACATCCATTAGCTACCATATAAGCAAGAAAATCGATGGCACGGCTGGTTTGCTGAGTTTTACATAGTCCCATCATTATTGAGTTATAAATGACTGCATTGGGGGTAATACCTAATCCTTCCAGATAACTGAAAACTGTTATTGCTTCATGAACCTTTCCTTTACGACTGAGCCCACCTACCACGGATGTAAAAGTAATTAGATTAGGCTTCATACCCTTACTGCACACCTCTTCCAAGAGTTCTAGAGCATGTTCAGTTTTTCCCACCTTTAAAAGCCCATCAATGATTGTACTGTATGTAATTATATCAGGTTCAAGACCTTTCCTGCTCGTCTCTTCAAAGAGTTCCACAGCACGCTCTGTTTCTCCAACTGTCAAAAGCCCATCAATCACTATATTATAAGTGATTAAAGAAGAAAGGCATCCCTTGGAACATAGTTGGTTCAGTATCTCAACAGCATCATCCACCTTCCCATCTTTGCATAATGCAGTCAGCAAAATGTTATAGGTCACTATATCTGGATAACATCCCCTGGATACCATTATTTCTAAGTACTGAATTGCTCTATCAACACTTTTCTCGTTACAAAACCCTTCAATCAATGGATTGTAACTTCTGGAATTAGGTTTACAACCATGCTTTGGCATCATCTCCAAGACATTAAGGGCTTTACCTAGTAATCCTTTCTGGCAAAAGAATTTAATCAAGATATTGAAAGTAACAACACTTGGGGAACACCCTTTACGAAGCATACTAGCCAATAGTTTCATAGCATCCATCCATCTTCCACCACTACACAAGCTGTGCAAGATAATAGTATGAGAAATCACATCAGGATTACAACCATAGGATGGCAATTTGTTTAAAAACGTAATTGCTTCATCCAACCTACCTTCATTGCATATCCCTTTGATAAGAACATTGTATGTAACCACATTAGGCTTGCATCCTTTGTTCATCATCTCAATTAACAGCTTCATTGACTGACCAACACCATTTTCTTTACAGGTGGCATCAATCAATTCAGTGTATGTAACTACATCTGGGTAACACTTGCTTTGCAGCTCTACATAGGGTACTTCCCTGGTTTGCTTCAATTTCCTTCTATTACACAAGCTATGAAAAATTGTATCATATGTATCAGCATTTGGAGCAACACTCATCCGATCGAAAACCCGCAAGGCTTCCTTTATCTCCCCAGATTTGCAATAACCACCGATCAGAACATTGTACATTGTTACATCAATAGCTGCTCCAGACTCGTCCAGAATTCCCATTATTCGAGTTGCCTTCTTAGTCCTGCCAATCTTACAAAACTCATGAATTAAAGTAGTGCAAGCAATGACATCAGGCATACTGCCTTTATTAGTCATATACTCAAGAAACTTAGAACCTTCTTCCAGTTCCCCATTTTTAATCAACATGCGGAGATGATCATTCTCAGAATCCTCAAAACTCAGGGAATTGACCGAATCTGAGTAGGATTCCATCCCATTTAAAGCACATTTTGGGAATCTTTCAAATTGTTGAAGATTACCTTTCAAATCACAATTTTCATATTTGGAAACAGCAAACAAGCAACTGCCCAAATGCTTTCTAGAGCAAGTGCCATTAGGTTTTCTAATGTCAATAGCCCTAATATTACGAAGCAGAACAAATAATTCAGATTTGCAGACCATATTACATACTCTCACCGAATTGAATGAAGAACCAATGCTACAGCTTTCTCGGTGGAAGTGTTTATATGAGAAAAACTGTATTTTAGGTATCACCAAGTCCATCGTTCACCAAACTACAACACTTCCTATCAAAACTCCAATACCATCAAATCCATTTTCACCAACTATCATAACCTGAAAAGGCCGAATCATACATTCCGTAAGTGCAAAGTTAATATACTAAAGGCTAAGCATGCAGTAAAAAAATTAAAAACGAGGCAAGTCAACAATGAAAACTAGTCATTTACCAAATCTGAACCTCTAACGATAAACAATCGAAAAAAACCAATAAAAAAATATATAGTTATTTAGAGAAATCCTAATTCATGATCTCGTAGAGGAAAGCCTCAATATTTCAGAAACAGAAACTTACGCTAATCACTGCTTCTATCGCCTTCAATATCAATTCCCAAAGCCCAAGTCTCACTCTGCCCTCACCATTGTGCCCATCAACTCAATCACACTCGCGACAAAGAAATCCCTAAACCTTCTCCAATTACTTAAGAACGGGAATATGAGAAAGAGAGAAAAAGGCTCAGTGAAAATTAAAAACTAATAACAATTATGCAGAGAAAAGATGTAACCCATAGTTCAGTGAGGTTGTGCGATTGTCTGAATCATTGTATAGAGTTTTAGAGCGGGACGCGCGAAAAGAATACGAATATAACAAAATAAATTAACAATTTAAAATAAATAAGAAATATTATATAATATTAACAATACGAAAAAAGATTTATTGATTAATACCTTTTTGTTAAAAATAATAAAATAAAGAATAAAAAAATATAGTGATAAAGCATTGTGTATATTTATTCTTTTACTTGTGTATATATTTCTCAATTACTACCATCAATATAGAAACAAATAAATGAATGAAAAGATATTTTAATTTTAATATAAGCAACGGATAAAATGAACTTTTATTAATATATCAAGGATAAATATGATAAAAATAAAAATAATATGTTACCAGGTATTTGCTACTTCAACAAGCCTAGTTAGTTTATCAAACATTTTTAATTTGGCTAAACAAGCTTTTTAAATAAGTTCCAAATTATTTTAAATGTACGTTTGAAGTATATTAAAATTAAAATTTAAATATAATTTTTATCAATTTTTTAACTTTAAGAACACGTGAGGTTTTCTGAATGAAATATATAATATTAATTACATTTTATATTACTAAATAATGATATCTTGTGCCTTTTATATCGTAAGATGCGGGGAAATAGAACATTGAGACTTTGAATTTTTGTTTGGAAATTAGTATTTTTGAGTTTATATTTTTGTTAGAACATAATTGTTATGTTATTTTTTTATTTTTATATTTTTGCCTATGAGTAAAAGTGTCATTTACCTTTATTTAATTGGTGTAGAAATTAATTAAAGGGTGGTTTGGTGTTTAGAAACCCTAGAAACTCTAAATAACTAGAGAAAACAGAGGAAGAAAGGATATTGGCGTTTCGCGAGAAGGGGAGAGAGAGAGCGACGGGAAACTTTTAGTGTAAAATAAGATTGGTGGTGTTTTAGAGTTGTAGACAAAACCTTATGATTGGCCAAGGTATATAAAAGCTTACATTTGTTTGTTTATGGTTGTATGTTATATGTGTTTTGATTATCTTGATTGGTAATCCTTGTTTTGATACACGTGTCTATGGTTATGATTATATATGATTATTGTTGGGTAAGAGTTTGTGTATGAATGAGTATAGGGTTGTTAACTCATTGGCAAGTGTACCAAATCGTTCAAGTAATATAAAGTGGTAAGACCAAATATCGTTTCCCAAGAGACTCGTGTAACGCTAGTTAATTGCACTATTAACAACTCATTTAGACTCAAGAACAACGTATCAATTGACAAACAAGTTCAAAGAGATAAATTTACAAATAATTACAAGGTTGAACTTTGGTATTGAAGGCACTTTGAAATGGAAAAGACTAGAAATTGTATGAAATGACAAGCCTTTCTCTTTCTTTCTTTTCTTCCCTTTTTATTTTGCTTTTTCACATGCTTAGCTCAATGTTTTTCATATTCCCCTTTTTAAACATCCCAACAACCCCAAACTTGAACATTTATCAATACCACAAGATATACCACAAGATATCTTCAAAAAGGGTTTTCTATAATGTTCAAATCTAAGGGTTCAAAGGTTAGAACACATTGTGCTCTCTTTTATTGGGCTACAATCATGCATTTGGCTAATAAAGGGTTACCAACAAATGGCCTTCATCATATGATACAAACAAGTAAGTGATTCAATCATAGAAACCTGGGCAAAGTCATTCATGCTTTCAATGTAATAGCACTCAATCAAAAACTCTGGAGTTCAAAACCTCACATATAGGCTCATTGACATTCCACATACACACCCTACTTAGCATCATAATCACAATCACAACATCATGCATTTATTCATATAGCTTGTGAATAACCATCTGTATATCAACATATAGTGCACAATCTCAACATCAATCAATATCCAAGCATCATCAAGCATTACTCATCATGCATAAATCACAAGCAAACCATCATAACAGATAAAGTTTCAAGTTGAGTACATCAAACCGTAATCTAAAAACAGAAGCAAATAAGTTCAACAAAATTTAGAACACTAGGCTGCCTCCCAACAAGCGCTTGTTTAACGTCACGAGCCTGACCCAAAATCCTCCAGCACCCATCAGTAAGTGCAAATCTTTTCTTACCAACACTCATCAGTGGGTGTAAACAAACCTAGTATCCTTTAGTAGATATTCAATCACCTAGCATCCATCAGTAGATGCTATACCATAAAATCTCAAAACAACATAAACCAATGTTCCAAAGTTTATAAAATTACATCACAAAAATTAAAGAAATTAATGTTCTCAAATCACTGGGGTGCCTCCCAGTAAGCGCTCTTTTAACGTCATTAGCCTGACCCAATAAAGCTCAAGTTCCTTCTTCAATGTTGGTGCTCCTTTTTCTCTCATCACACCAACTCATCAACTGCTTCCGGTCCACCTTTTTTACTCTCCTTGAATATGGAGATTCAATCTCTATCACTCCATTCTCTTTATAGTCTTTCACAACCCACAACTTGTTCTTGAATCTTACAGGTGTACCAAGTTTGAGTTGTTCCTCCATCAAGTCAATGTTAACCTTCCTTCCTTTGCCATCTTTTTCTTCTTCCCTAACTTGTGACAAGAAACAATTTTTACCTTTGAAGCCCGACTTTGCAACTTTTAAACTAGTCAAGGGTGCATCTTTATATGCAACTTTATGACTAGCCTCCTTCTCTTGAATATACTGCTCCCCTTTGAAGACATTAAAGATCACCTTTTCTCCTCGGTCTTGAAGCACTATCATCCCATCATCCACATTGATTATTACCTTTTCCGTTTTCATAAACGGTCTTCCAAGAATGATTGGGACCTTCTCATCCTCCTTCATCTCCATCACCACAAAGTCCACCAGGAATTTTAATGTGTCTATGCATACCACAACATCTTCCACCACACCATAGGGCTTCTTTAAAGATCCATCCGCCATTAGCAAAGTCACCTTTGTTGGCTTGACTTCAAAACCACCAATTCTTTCAAGCAGAGATAAAGGCATCAAATTAATACTTGACCCTAATCAATTAGGGCTTTCCTTATTTTCTCCTTCCCTATGATACAAGGAATAGTAAAACTTCCTGGATCCTTCACTTTTGGAGGAAGTGGCTTCTTCTCAACAACACTGCAATCTCCCTTTTCATCTAGATATTTCTTCTTTTTGGGGACATGCTTCATGTGCTGTGCATAAGCTGGAATTTGTTGCAATGCTTCCTTCAAAGGTATTGTAATCTCCAATTGCCTGAAGATATCTTTAAAGCGCCCATATTGTCTCTCTTTTTCAATCTTTTCACTCCCCTTATGATAAGGAAGAATTTTATCACTTTTCTCATTCTTTTTCTCTCCCCTCTTCTTGTCTTTCTCTTTTCTTTCATCCTCACTTACTATCTCTTCTTTTCTCTCAACTCTCTCTTTTCTCTCTTCTCTTTCTTCTTTTCTTTCTAACTCAACTCTCTTTTTTTCATCATCCATTCTCTCATCATCTGTACTTATAAATTAAAAACATAATTTCTGGAAAATACAACGTCGAACACATAGAAGAACTCGACGTTATATGGTTGGTTTAAAAGAAAAAGAAAAAATAATAAAAATGGAACTAAATAACAAAATGTCTAAGCCAGTATAAAATTGACATTTTGTGGGTTGATTTAAATGAAAAATAAACAAATAATAGCTAGTTGTAATATACAACGTCCTTCTTTTGTTATGATTGACGTCATATTAATTAAATCAATATTTAGTATTTATTTATTTTGTATTGGACGTCGACTGCTTCCTTATTAACGTTATGTGATTACGACCATCACGTCCAACCCAAACTTGTTCGAAGTTCTATATTGTTTTAAATGTCGACCCCATAAAGTTTGAGACGTTATGTTTGGTTTATAAGAGAAAAAAAATAAAGAATAAAAAATGCATTTCACTTTGGCTTCATGGTGGCATATAAAACATCAAATGTTTGACGTGGTTGACGTCAAATGTGGATAGGAGTATTACTGTTGGAAGCAAACCACTATTTCGTTATTTTTTTTATTTTAAGTTGAACGTTAGATGTTTCTTAAGTTGACGTTATGTGATTTTAAGGTCATTGTTTTACGTCGATGTTGGCCTTATTTGACGTTAATACATTTTAGATTACGTTGATATGTTTATTGTTTGAGGTTAATACATTNTATAAAATTACATCACAAAAATTAAAGAAATTAATGTTCTCAAATCACTGGGGTGCCTCCCAGTAAGCGCTCTTTTAACGTCATTAGCCTGACCCAATAAAGCTCAAGTTCCTTCTTCAATGTTGGTGCTCCTTTTTCTCTCATCACACCAACTCATCAACTGCTTCCGGTCCACCTTTTTTACTCTCCTTGAATATGGAGATTCAATCTCTATCACTCCATTCTCTTTATAGTCTTTCACAACCCACAACTTGTTCTTGAATCTTACAGGTGTACCAAGTTTGAGTTGTTCCTCCATCAAGTCAATGTTAACCTTCCTTCCTTTGCCATCTTTTTCTTCTTCCCTAACTTGTGACAAGAAACAATTTTTACCTTTGAAGCCCGACTTTGCAACTTTTAAACTAGTCAAGGGTGCATCTTTATATGCAACTTTATGACTAGCCTCCTTCTCTTGAATATACTGCTCCCCTTTGAAGACATTAAAGATCACCTTTTCTCCTCGGTCTTGAAGCACTATCATCCCATCATCCACATTGATTATTACCTTTTCCGTTTTCATAAACGGTCTTCCAAGAATGATTGGGACCTTCTCATCCTCCTTCATCTCCATCACCACAAAGTCCACCAGGAATTTTAATGTGTCTATGCATACCACAACATCTTCCACCACACCATAGGGCTTCTTTAAAGATCCATCCGCCATTAGCAAAGTCACCTTTGTTGGCTTGACTTCAAAACCACCAATTCTTTCAAGCAGAGATAAAGGCATCAAATTAATACTTGACCCTAATCAATTAGGGCTTTCCTTATTTTCTCCTTCCCTATGATACAAGGAATAGTAAAACT